TGACTGGCTCATCTCCTCCCCTAGACCCCTCTGCAAGGGGATCTCCAGTGGCCTACTAATGGGCTTTGGTTGTCTTTCACAGGACAGTCGTAAGAGTCTAAGTGGCTAAGAAGGGGCGAGTTGTGGAAAATTAACACGCCTTTCTTTTCAGACACCCGCCGAAACGCAGATGTGCTATGCCTCACTAGACATCAGCTACAAAGGGAAGCTCAGAAAGCCCAGGACACAGAATCCCGTGTCACTGAAGGGCGAAGACAAGCAGTTCCTTTCGAAGACGTCTTTGGTAGACGATCCCTCGCCGGAAAGCCAAGCAGAGGAAAACATACACGATGATCCAATCAGACTATTTGGATTACTTCGAGCAAAGACAGAGCCTGTAAATCAGCTGGACTGTGCTCACTGATTGGGCGCTTTTTGGAGCCCCATGACACCCCCACGTGACACCGGGAGACTTTGTAGAGGGATGGTCGCATCTTTCATCGTTGGTATGTGTTAGGATGGTGATTTACGTCTACGGCAGAGCATTTCGTCCTGCCGAGCAAATGTAGTGTTGTGAACATTGTTTGAAAAAGGCCTATGTGTGCACATTTAAAATGAAATCCAACTTGCGTTGTTAACAAAGTCACAACTTCATCAACAACACATTATAATCAGGGATGTAAACATCTTTATTTTAAGCATGGTGTGTTCTGAAATACATTGAGAGGAACATAACTCAATAATTAAAAATGAAAATTCTCACCAATGTGGAATGCATTGTAATTGGAAGACAGTTCTGATTATACGGTGTGGAAGGCATTGAAAGACATTTCCAACTGAAGGGGGATTTTTTTTTTTTTGCACTTCCTCAAATGGAAACAACTTTATGAAGCTAATACATGTTCATTTCTCCTATTTCTAGATTGTTTTTGCACATGTTCGTGTACATAAATTAGTTGCTTCTCAGACTAAAAAAACACCAGATATTATATATATTATTTAAGCTTTTTTCATTTAACAATATATTGAGGATTTACTTCTATACTTACATAAATTGAAAATACATCACATTACATAAAAAACAGTAATACATAATTTTTCACTTCTTCAGAACATCCCATCATGATTACATCACATTAACATAAGTAATTTTTGAAGAACAATTAGGTGTGTGTGTGTTTTGTTTATTTTCTTTCACGAATAACATTGTGATGAGCATGTTTCGGTACTTGTCTTACTTTTAGGCTTCTTAAAACAATAATTGATGGCTATGGTAAAAGATATTCATCTTTTCATGCTTTACTATAATGTACCTCAAGAACAATTGAAGCAATTTAAATTTTCTCTAATAGTTTAAGAGCATGTCTAATTTCTCACACTTTTATAAATACCAAGCTTCATCTTTCTTTTCTATCATATGTCATAGGATACATAATAGAGAATTTTGACCATATATTTTTTAATTTAGTGATGGTTGTTTTTCTGTATGCTTATTAGCCAATTGTAACTCTTCTGTGGACTTGCCTACTTGTATCCATTTTCTGGTTGTGTCATATATTCTTTTTCTTATTAATTTCTGAAGCTCTTCATATTAAGGATATGGACACCTTTTCTACAAATTGTTTTTTTCCCCTCTTAGTCTGTCATTTATATTTTAGATTTACTTCTTTCTAATACTTTTATATAAATAATTTTAAACCATGTTACTCCTCCCTTGTGTTTTCTGCTGTTGCCATAATGATCAGAAAAGGTTTCCAACCTGAAAATTATAAAAGAAGTCACCATGTTGATTTGAATTTTATATTTACTTATCTCAAATTAATTCATATGTAAGAAATATCTTACCTGAATTTCTCTCCCAAAGTTTGACCAATTGTTGCAATTAGTTACTATTTATTGAATAATCTGTTCTTTGACTTCTGGGTTGAAATATCTTCTTTATCATTTATAAGATTCCTACATCTTCTTAGATCTGTGTTTGGTCTTTCATTCACCTGTCTTTTGGAACCAGTCCTATAGTAGTTGTTACTAAATTTTCATGAATACAGAAATTTTAAATTTGTATTAACACCTACCTTCTTTCATTTCTGATTTTCTGAGATGTTCTTATTTTCAGGCATGTATTATTTCAGGTGAATTTGTACAATAGTTTTATATGTTACCATTGACACATAATTGTAACAAGACCTAAACAGAAAAAGAGTGCTTTCGTATAATAATCGTTCAGGAACATGATATGGCACTAAGTTTCTTCAAATAAAGTCTGCTCTTGAAAATTATTTCTAAGTATTTAATATTATTAATCATTATAATGAAGGAACTTTTTGCTCAATTTTTTCTAAGCACAGGAAAAGAAGATTTTGAGTCAGAAAAGGCATCACCCTGTACCCTTAAGGTCTTTTCCAGCCTTACAGAGTCTGTAGTGTCTCAGAGATTTTGAGAAAGCTGACTGAGAGATTTCCAGGCTAATCAGTATTGACAGAGGATAAAACGGTTTTCTCTGAGGTTCCCTAAAATATGCTGGATTAGCGATGATGTCCGTGCTCTGCAGGCAAGCGACCATTTGAGCTGGAAGATACTCAGAAAGTAGGCAGGCGGTGACCTCACCTATGGAAACACTGTGAGGTTCTCGGAAACGGAATCATTCCCCTTGATCAAACCTTTGGAAGACCAGATTGAAGCAAAATATTTCATATGGACTTTTTATCAGTTATTTGTTCTTTTCCTAGAATTTGTTGAGCACTGTGGATTATGGTAAATTTAATTCAAATATTCTTCAGAAGAATCCATTTCTCTAAACATTCTCTCCTAACTGTTGACCCTTTGACCTGAGTAAATGTTTGTCCACGGATGTTTCTCTATTACTTGAAAATGAAACTACATATTTTCTACAAGCTAAGACTGAGCCTTTTTTTTACTATTAATAATTACTCCATCCTTTGGTTCAAGGTAATTTATTCTATATGTTTTAGAGTATATGGCCAAATGTAAATTTAGGATCATGTGAATCATATAGTTATTTTTCCAAAATGATATGTTCCCTAGGCTTAACATTTTTATGTTTTGAGATTTACTCTTCTATATTATGTTTTCAACTTAATTTTATTATTTTCTCCTTCAGGAAATTATTAGAAGTAGGAACTAGGACTTGGAATAAAAATGTAGTAGATGAACAGCAAATTAGAAATAAAGGTCTGACTATAGAAAAGATAAAGTGTCAAAAGAAAGCTAATTTAGAGATCTATTTCAATATCTGGGACATGAAGTCATCATAACTATTAAGGCCTTGTATACAGCTTAAAAAAATTGAAGGGGTCCGGAAACAGCTGAGTAGCTAAGGAACGATATTATATATTTAATTATACATTAAATATAATAAACATTTTGGTAACTCTCTTAATCCAGAATCCACAAGCAGAATTTAATCATTCATAGTCACAAAAGCATCATTGAAAAAGAATCTTAGAGTGGGAAGATGAAAGTTGTATAATGGCATATATATTACATGCAATAAAACAATTTAACATGCCTTACTAAGTGCTCTAAGAAAGACTGTCTCAAGAATCAGCTTTTAGATAAAAACCACAGCTTTTCTGTTTATTACCAATTTAAGGTGAGTAAAACGCCAACAATATTCTTTAACTATTTTAGAGTATTTAACATAATAATGCACAAAAATTTGCAAAGATTTACTGACCATCTCAAATTTGTTAACTCACTATGTATGAAAGAGAGTTCGGAAACACTTATAGAATGTAATAGTATACCGCATGCCAGACCCCGAAGGGAAAGAGTCAAAGAAGTCTCTGTTGGGCTGGGATGGCTGTTGTCTTTGTTAGGTGCCATCCAGTCAGTTCCGATCCATAGCCAACGATGCATAAGCGAACCAAACACTGCCCTGTGCTGCTCCATCCTCACAGTTGTTCCCCTGCCTGAGCCCATTGTTGCAGCCAGCATGTCAATCCATCTCCTTAAGGGCCTTCCTCTTTGTCACTGCCCCCATACTTGACCCAACAAGATGTCCTTCTTCGAGGACTGATTTCTCACAATATGTCCACAGTCTCTAAAACACAATCTCACCATCCTTGCCTCTAAGCAGCACTCTGACTGGACTTCTAAGACAGATTTGTTTTTTAACAGTCCATAGTGCATTCAATAATCTTCACAA